CTTTCTGTCTTCACGGTCCACTCCACAGGGACTCAGGTAGGGCTGGGGCCTGGGCAGTGAAAGCCAGAGGTCAAAAGGAGGCCAAAGGCAGGGGCAGGCTGGGAGCAGACTGTTTCCACCTGGCTGCAGAAAGGCCCTGGGCCTGGTGAGGCCCCTGTCAGGTGAGATCACACCCTGAGGTGAAAGTCACAGGGTGCTACTTTCTTCTGGGGTGCTAGGAGCTCAGGAGAAATGCCCACCCCATTCAGTCTTCTAGCCTACAGCCGCTCTGCTCTGGGGAGCCGTGTGCTCCCAGGTCTTAGAGGCTAAAGAGGCAGACACAGGCACCAGGCAGGCTCAGGACAGGGATAAAAGGTCTTGGGCTGGGGGCTGAGGGGCAGTTAGTCCTTGGAACTTTCCAGAAAACAGAAGGAAACTACAGAGGCCAAGAGACAGACTGAGACCAAGAAAGACACCAAGATTAAGAGACAAACCGGAAGTGAGTGTGGGGAGGGGAAAGTTCTAGCCAAAGAAAGGTGCTCAGTATCGAGTTGGGAGAGGCAGGCAGAGAGGTGGGGAAGTAGGTGGGCAGTGTGTATGGAAGAACCAGGACCCGGGCGGCACCATGGCCGGACGTGGCGAGGATCTCCACCCGCGGCTGCAGGAGTGCCAGCACGGCTGTAAGAAGCACCTGGGCGACATCATCAGCTTCTTCTTCCGCTTCATCTCTGGGAACCTGGCTCGAGGTGAGGGCTGCCTTGATGGGATAGGGACTCGGGTGCAGGAGGAGGCAGCATGAGGCTGGGGAGGGACTATACCTCCTTCTCTGGGGCAGGGATGAAGGAGCCCAAGAGCAGGGTCAGTCTCTGAGCCCTGTGCCTATCTGTGGGACCTGCTCCCAAGAGGGCCAAGCCAGAGCCCCGAGAGGAGGTGGCAGGAGACAAGCCTTACTTACTTCCATGGTGGGCACAGACCAAGGTCTGCCTAGCTGCTCTGGGGACCCCTCCCTGCCCTGCTTGTTCCTCAGCTGTGGCTGCCCTCCCTCACTGAGGTCTCTGCTTCTCTTCTCTCAAATACATTGTGGGTCTGTGATGATACAGTGGAAAGAACCAGTGTGTATTGACATTGTACAGAAGATGCTCCATCATTGACAGGAAGCCTTCTTCCCCCAAATGGCAGAAGCCTACCAAGCTGGAAGTCTTGATGGGAGGCAAGGGGGTGTGTGTGGCCCAGCCAGTGCCCTCAGGTCTGACCTGGGGGTGGGGGGAGCTCCATAGCAGGCTACTTCTCTGCTTCCTTTGCCTCTCATCCAGGCTTGGCAGGACTTAGACCAAGGCCTAGCTGGACAATCATGGGCACTTCAAGATTCACAAAGGGAGGGAGCCTAACAGATGGGAACCTGAGAAGTGAGGTGCCAAGAGCTCCAGACCTTGAAGTGGGGAGGCTATCAGGCTCAGGGCCTCAAGGCTCTTTTGTCCTGCCCTGTTACTGGAGGGATGCAAAGGACTTAGGATAAAGCAATCATGTGACTCCTCCAAAGAGACTTAAAATGAAATCCCTAAAATGAAATGAGCTGGTGAGGGCATGTGACACCCAAAGCCATCTCATGGCTTCAGGGAGATAGATGCCCATGCTGCCCAGGGGAGCCTCACTAGTTAAGCAGGGCCAGGCTGGTGCAGCCCAACCTCACTCCCTCTATGAAATGGGGGTGTTGTCCCCCATCTTTTCTCCTGCTTAGTCTGGAGGAGCACCTACAACAGAGCCTGGATTATTTGAGAGCTGTCAGGTTAATGAGTAGCACTTTAAATTTTCTAATTTATTTTTACTGTATGTGTTGGTGTGTATGTGTGTGTAGATGTGTATGCATGGGCACACGTGCCATGGCGCATGCATGGAGATCAGAGGACAATATTGTGAAGTTGGTTCTCTCCTTTCACCTTTATGTGGGGTCCAGGGATCACACTAGGCTTGTGTGAAAAGCACTTTTACCCACTGAAACATCTTGCCAGTCCATGAATAGCATTTATAAAAATAAAAGCACGAAACTGAGATAGATTCACACATCTCCAAATCGGTGGAATAATAATAGCTTAAAATACCAGTGAGCAATGAGAAGATGAGAAGACAGAAATCTGTTATGACCAAGGTTTACAGGGGGAGGCCAAGTCTGGACTAGTATAGCCAGCTCAGGTGGCTCTGGGGACAGGAGGCAGAACCTGGGAGCTCAGGGTCACCAAGCTTTCTGGTTTTTTCAGAAGAAAAAGAAATTCTTTGATGTCATGTGTCACTTGGTTGTTCTCTCTCTCCAGAAGGTCTTTTGAGGAGAGGATGGAATTGAAGATGTCAGGACTAGACTGGTCCTGGGAGAGACACCAGGGAAGGGGTCAGGTCTGGGGCAGAGGAAGGCAGCTAAGACCACCAACCTGCTAGCCATGACCCTATTAGCTGTTCCTACTTCAGGGTCTCCTTGTTTCTGCTAGCTAGAGACCTTGCGCTCTCTCCTAACCACACTTGGCCCAGCCCCTCATCCATCTAGTGTATATATGTACATGAATATACAAATATACAAAATGTATATAATAATGCCTACTCCATCAAGGGGTGTCAGCTTCCTGCCATAATATTATAACAGGAGGCCGCATGATCTGATGGCTCATTCTTTAAAAAGTGTATGAGTGTATTGCCTGCATGTGTGTAAGTGCATCTGTGTCGTGCAATGCCTGTGGAGGTCAGAAGAGGGCATCGGATCCCCTGGAACTGGAGCTAAGGATGGTTGTTAGCCACCATGTGGGTGCTGGGAATTGAACCCAGGTCCTCTGCACCAACAGCCAGTGCTCTTAACTGCTGAGCCTTCTCTCCAGCCAGGCTCATTTTTGTAAACCTTTCTTATGCATAATATACCTGTAGACAGAGCTCCCCGACAATCTTGCTCCCAGTGTAAGTCTTTCCATCTCAGTCTGCCTGTCCTTCCCTCCTTTCTTAACCAGAGTGCAAAGGCTAGTCCTTGATTAGGTGACCCAACCGGCTGTGTCACTGGAGTTGTTAGTGTCAGAGCCTAGGCTCTGGCAGTCCTAATAAGCTAACTTTGACCACCCATCAATCAAAGAGCCAAGCAATAGTAAAAAGCAAAGAAAGGGGATTTTTTTTTTTTTTTAATGTGGCCACATTGGGGAAAAGGAACGGATAAAGAGGATCTGTGACTCCCAAGTCTATCTTCAAGGTTCTGACATGAGGTTTAGGTTTAAATAGAAAGCAAGTGTTATGCATAATTAAGCAGTCTTAGTCAGTGTATCCTCTGGCCCATCACAGACCCATTGTTGTCTCAGCCCCTGCAAAGTGTTCTGACAGGTTGTCAGAATACGGTGAAATCTCTTCTTGGGAGACAAGCTTCTCTTCCAGCTGGTACTAGGCTTCAGCTTTTCCTTCTCCTACCATGAGATTCCTGGAGAAATTCCAATTCCTTGGGGACCATTGTTTCAATAGCTAAAGAGAGGGGCACGCATGCCTGTGTTTAGAATTCCTTCATTCCTACCAGGATCCTCACAACAGGTTCCCAAGGTGGACCCTGAACACCAGCTCAGAGCATGCAAGGGAAGGGCAAACACAGAAGAAGCCTCCTCTGAGACCCAGAGGTCAGGCTGGCCAGCCTGTCTCTAAGCCCCACCCAGGCCACTGGCTCTGAAGGATGGACATGATATTCTAGGCCAGGTGGGAGGGGCTGTCTGGAACAGGGGCTGAGGAGGCCCAGAGCAGGTTGGCTCTAATTGCAGCATTAGACACCAAGGCAAGGTGTCAGTTGGAGGAAGCCTGGTTCCTTGTCACTACTGACCCTTCTGTCCACCCACTGGCCCTTCTCTGCCTTATGGATGAAGTTCTGTGTAGATCCTGGGGCTTTGTCAGGTCTTAGCAAGGCCTGAGTGAATCCTTTCACCTGGTACCCTTGGCCAAGCCAGTGTCATCTCCATGGGTAAACTCTGGTGTCCCTTGGTCCTGCCTCCAAGGTGCCAAGCTGCCCATTGTCCAGGTTGGTGTTTGGAGGGGAGAGAAGAACTTGGAAAATGTATCCTGGTGTCTTCTCCAGGTGTATAGGAGGGCTTTTGAACATGTCCTCTACCGCCAGGGTGGTGACAGATATCTAGGTCACACCCTTGCCCTGGCTGTTTCCAGGTAGCCAGGGCCACTACACTGACATCTTTCAGGTGTGGGTCAGACCCTCCTACATATACCACAACCGAACTCCCCAAACTCCAGGGGACCTGCTTAGATCACTAAAGGTGTCAGAAGCCCTGCAGTGGATGAAAGAAGAGAAAACAGCTTAGCCTTTCCCAAGATACTTCCTCTGGATGCTTTTTGTGGGAGAGGTGTAAGTGTCACAAGGCCAGTTTCCCAGCCCCTCAGCGGGACCTGCAGAGTCATACCTCTCAAGGTGTTCTTTGGATTTCTGCCAAAATTCAGGGAAAAGACCCATTTCACATGAGATAAGACCCAAGGAGCCTGCATAGTGAGAGATGAACATTGTGTCTAGAACACTCACCCCAGAGCACTCCCTACCCCAGCAAAGAAAGTGTAGAACAGAGGTAGGGAGGGCCCAAGATGAGGTTCAGGCTGTCAGCAGAGGCAGCTGAGGGACTCCCTCCGCCCCCACCGCACGCATCACAGATAAAGCCAGGCATATCTGACTTGAGTTGTCAAAGTGTCATTGTGGTGGTTAAAATTATCCTCCTACAAATAGACATGAGTGTATGTCCAGGTTCCGTTGAACTCGTGAATGAAGATGCCAACAGAATGACAAAGCTGATTCAAATCAGGAAAAACCCCAGGGAGGGTGAGAGAACCTGGAATATACAGAACACAAACAATGGATCAATTAGACACAATCGATGGGAAAAATAAAGATGTGGGCCAGTGAGAGACCACCCGCTGGGGCAGCTTCTTTGCCAGAGAGATGTTGCATCTTAGCAGGTTTACAGACCTCTAAATGTCTGGGTTCTAATCATCACATCACTGTGTTCTCTCTGTAGAGTCAGATGACCTCACAGACATACAGGACGATGGGCTGCTGGATTCACCTGTCACTCAATGCTCATTTGTCTTTATTTCCAAATCTCTGGAAACAGAACCCCATCTCTGCCTCTCAGAGCTCTGTGTTAAGTAAATTGCTTCTAAGCTATCTGAACCTCGGTTTCTTCATCTGGGAAATAAAATGGGTATAAGAATGAGGTCATTGAGATGGTTGTGACAGGTGCTTGTGACAAGCTCTGCCCCCATGGGCTCCTGGATTGACTCTGCTGTGTACTAATATAGGGACATGTGGCAAATTCCCCAGTTTCCTCATCCATCAAATGGGCATAATGGAATACTCTTGAGGACCCTACCAGCAGCTGTACAGAGCCATAGCAGTGGCTGAGCCAGTGATAATGGAGGCTGACTTTGTGAGCCTGAGCTGAGGTTTCTTCCTTTCTGTGCCTTGGGTGGTTTCTTTGTCTGTGAAAGAGGACAAAGTGTAATTTTTCAAGGTCAAGGACCAGTGTGATTTCTCCCCATCCCTCTGACTTAGGCACTGGGCCTTGGGATTTAGAGTGTGTTGTAACTCTTGGATGCTTTTGAGGGGAGGCTGCTGAGTCTCCTCTCTCAGTGGCTGTGTCCCTATCTGCTTCTTTCTGCGTCCTTGGAGGTCCTGTGCCCCACCATGGTTCAGCGCTCCTGCTGACCCTTTCCAGGGCCTTATAAATGGGGTGAAACCCATTAAAGCCCACCGTGAGCTGTGCAGCTGAGAGGTGGGATCTCCACGTAGAGTGGGCTGCAGTGGACCAGGCTCCTTCCTGCTCCAGCCTCTACCTACCCCACCTTCTTTTTCTATAGAGCCAGGCAACTCAGGAGCATGGGGACAAGGACGTGGGGACAGGGGTGTGTTGAAGGGGTGGAGGGATCCTCCATGAAGCCATTCTGGGCCACCTGTCTAGGCACTGGAGTCCCAGCCTCATCACTACCTTCCTAGGCCCAGACTCCTGGCCTGTGTGTGAAAGGCCCACATTTTCTCTCTATCTTTCAAGGTGGAGGGATTTGAGAATTCTTTGAGGTGGGAAGGGGAGACAGGTACCATGTCTAGAAGCTCCAGTATGGAAGGGTACATTTTCCTGCCAGATTTGGGGTTGCTCAAGGGAAAGGCAGAATGTGATGGCAGAGTGGATGTCTGTACTTTGAACACCCAGGCAGACTCTCACAAGCCTGGGGAGCCTGGAGCCAGTTGTCCTGGACACCCACTCCCGAGAGAATGTCCCCAAGTCCTTCCTGCCTTTTTGTTCATCTCCCTTCCCCTCCCCGACCACTATCCCATCTCCACCTTCCCTCCACTCCCCCTCCAGGCTCACCAAAGTTCTTTTGACAGGCATTCCTCCATCTTCCCACCAGGGGGCAGAAGACACCATTGATGTGGCCTCCTTGGACCATTTTAACATTTATTTATTATTTATTTATTTTTATGTGTAAGAGCGTTTTACCTGCACGTATATAAGTGTACCCATGTCGTGAAATGCCCGTAGAGGCCTGAATTAAGCATCAGGTCCCCTGGATCTGGAATTACAGATGGTTGTTAGCCACCATAGGGGTGTTTGGAACAGGAACCCAGGTCCTCTGCAAGAACAGCCAGCATTCATAACCCCTGAGCCATCTTTATACACACACCCCCATTGTAGCCTTCTAAGACAAGTCATAGACTATGTATTTTCTAACACACACACATCCTCCTCACACTTTTGAAGCTTAAGGACACAGGATCTGGCATTCTTAGGCAGCTAGCTCTCTCCCAAGATGCATCCTGACTCCCGATTCCCTGAGCCAAGTCCAGGACTGACCAGAGCCTCTTCCCAGCTGGCTGCCCACCCACCCCTTGCTGCCCATGAAATCTCTGCTCTAGTCTTGGGAGTCCATGTTCCCTGGGGTGTCAGTGGCCTCATCTTGAACCACCCTAGAACTTCAAGAGGGTGGATGGGTCCTAGGATGTTACCTTCAAAGGTCACCTTCTGCTGTCCTCCTCACTCCCATGTGAATGAGTGGGAAGGCTCGGGTGACTCAGATAGGGGCTGGTGCTCTTCTACACTCGAAGGGGTCATGGTGAGAGCACAGGAAAACCCACATTAACAAATGCTTCCCTGGGCACAGACCAGGGCTTCTCACATCCAGCCTGTAGACCACGGGGTCTTTGAGAGAAATGAGGAGAGATGATCAGTAAGTGGACTTGGCAGTGAACTAAACACAGACCCTTCCAAAGGCTTGTCTCTCACAGAACAGGGCTTCTGACCTGCAGCCCATAAATCAAGGGACCTTTGAGGTGAAACAAGGAGAGATGATCAGTAAGTGGCCGTGGCAGTGAACTAATCCAAAAACTTGTCCCTTCATTCTCTTTTGAAATAACGTGGAAGATAGTAGTTGGCAATTTTCCCTTCAAAAATGTTCTAATGCCCCCGCACTGCAAACAAAAGAGGCACTTTTATCATCTTTTCCAATGAGGAAGGAAATATAAAGGGTTTATAAAGGCCCATGGGCCATAGCCCAAGATCCCTGTCCATGAAGGGTGAGCTAGGAGGTTGAAGGGACTCCAGGCACTGTCTTGGTGTCAGGCAGCAGCATCCTAGTCGGGCCCTGTGGAAGACAAGCTCAGCCTCTGCACAGCACATGGTGCTGCTATACTGGTGATGTTCACATGCCTGCCCCACAACACACACTAATGATCAGGAGCTGGCCTTCCCAGAGAGGGACAGGCTGTGGATGCTGGCCTGAGCAGTGACCAGAATCCTGGGAGTGGGGCAGGAGTCAGCTGGAGCTCAGCCAGGGAAGATGGAAATGGCAGCAAAGGAGGGCACCGTGGTTGTTAGTTCAGCTGGGGTGAAAGTCTGTGAACATACAATACTGCCTCCAACTTTTGAGAAAAGAGCCAAGAAGAGCCCATTGAGAGAATGCATTTGAAGAAAGCAGAGCACCAGCCACCAGTATCCTGGGGTCTGGCTGAGAGCAGAGCGACTGAAGAATGGAGAGTTAGGAGCCCAAGAAAGCCATTGTTGCCAGCCCCTAACACAGGGGTTACTCCAGAGCAGAGAGAGATGCTGGCTTCCAAACACATCCTGGCCAGAGAAAGGGGATGCCCAGGTAAGAAGCAAAGGCCAAGCAGATGCTGGTGTCCAGATCCATGTCATCAGCCACCACTCCCACCATCCACGAGGACAGCTTGAGGTTTAGAGGGAAGAGTTGATCTATCCATTCATCCATCTTTCCTTTTATCCATCCATCCACACACCCATCCATTTATCTATCCATCCATCCACCTTTCTAATCTGTCATTCCATTCACCCACCCGCCTATCCACCCATCTGCCTATCTGTATATCCACCCATCTGTCAGTCCATCCACTCACATGCCCATTTCTCCATCCATTACACATTTACAAAGCATCTACACAAATCCTGACACAGAACAAGCCTTGAGACCAGTTAAGAGAGACAAAAGAACCAGGAAAGAAAGTCTTCCTCTGCCCCTCTTCACCATGCAGGGCACTTTCTCATCCCAACCCCTAACACTACAAACATACTTGGAAACTTACTGTGGTTGGGGACATTTGGAGACCTGTTGCCAGCTGTTCTGGACTGGGGCTCCACATCCTCTGCACCTCCCGGGTGGAAGAAGACAGAGGGAAGGGACAGGGTATAGTTTATCCCTTGGTCCCTTGTGATCTCAAGCCCCTCACACACACACCCCAAGCTTCCTTGGGCCTGGGAAAATGCCCAGACACACAGGAGACTCTGCCCCTTGGACCTTTGCCTCAGACCTGCTGCACGGATGGGGAAACTGAGGCTGGAAAGCGCATGTGAGCTATCTGAGCTCATGTACATATATGGAGAGATGCCAAGGACAATACTCTTTTCTCTGTCTGCACAGCTGTCTCAGCCTTGGTGTTTCAGCGTGTGAAATCAAGGCATGCAGACATAGATGGGCTCCATTTCAGCACTTGGGGGAGGGAGATGAGTGTGCAGTGGGCGGCTGAGCTATTTTCAAGCACTGATCTCACAGGGGAAATGGCTGAGGTAAGTCTGTGAGGAGGCTGGAAGTCACTGTGTGCTGGCTTAGCACTGTGTATCTGCATGTACACGAACACACATTTTCTTTTATATGCTTGGTGATAAGTGTGCCTGTATATTGGAGCAGAGTTCGGGTGTTATTATGGCAGAATTGTCAGCCCATGATAGGAGGGTCCTTAGAGGTCTTCAGCCTGACCAGGAACAACCTGGCCTGTGTAGACCCCTTAACACCAGAGCCTGGGGGCGGGGGCAGCTGTTGGACAGAGCTATAAATTGAGGTCAGGCTCTCTTTTCTGTCCAGTCCTTAGATGTATCCTAGAGGTTGGCTAGAGAGGAGGTACCTCTCAGTGGAAGAAAGAGGGGAGCCCCAGAGGAGGAGGGGGAGAGTAGAGATGGATGGATCCTGGAGTTAGCCCTGGGGTTCCTAGGAAGGATGAGAGGGGCCTTAAACTGTTCCAGCGACCTGGGGCAAGTCATTTCACCTCTCTGAGCGTTTGTTTCCTCATCTTTGAAATGGAGAGTGGTGACAGAAGATCTAACTCCCTGGCTGCTGGGAGGATTAAACAGGATACAACAGTCAGCCCAGGAGTGCTTGGTATACTGTAAGCATCTAGCAAATGCCATGGCTCCTGGCTCAGCCTGGGTCTCAGAGCAGTGCACACTTGCTGTCTTGTACTTATGGGGCTCCTAGTGAGAATACTCCACTACTGCGATATAAGTGGATTCTGTTTTAACTAAGCCAAAGGCCTGGGGTAGGACCAGAGTGCCTAGTTTTTCTCTCTCTTGTACTGCTGCAAGTTGGGCTTCAAGCAGTGAGGTTTGCATCACCAGCCCATTTTACAAGTGAGGCCTGCATCTATCCCTACCCACCATTCACCTACCCACTCACCCATCCACTCATTCATCCATCCATCCATCCACCCACCTATTTACCTGCCCATCTGTCTGTCCATCCATCCACACATCCATTCACTCACCTACCCATCCATCCATCCATCCACTTTTCCACCTATCCATTCATCCATCCTCCACCTATCCATTCATCCATCCATTCATTCACCCACCCACCCATACATACATACATCTGTCCAGCTGTGATCAGGCTCCTTCAGTCCAGGT